TAATTTCGTGTCGAATACATTCGATTGTCCCCACTGGTGTTCATGTTCGCTACACTAGGACACTTTTTCACTCATAAATCTACAATTATGCAAATATTTTAACCACTTACATTACTGATAACCAGCTAACCAATGTTTCCCATTTTCTGAACCTCAGTACTTTACTTGTTACCTTCCTTTCACGTTCTCTAGACCATTCAAATCCCCAGACTTTTCGTCAAACTTTATTTGTGTGAGAACCATAGTACTTAAATTTTGTAAGTAGCTCAGGTAATACTTCTATATTTCTACCATTTAAATATTGTTAAAAGCTATCGCATTTCAATGTGTCACTTTGATCTTCTATATATGGGTTTATTTTTATTGTCTCCCTATGTTTTAAGCTTCTAGTAACTTCGTTCATCCAGAATTATATCTATTTTAGGCACATAGCTTTTATTTGGTCTTCGCCTATCTCTTATATTTATACTCGACAGATGTATGCTGTTTTCTAATTAGCACTACCATAAATAATTTTATTTTCATACACTTTTTGTAATCTCTCCTCTTGATTTCCTGGTACGGCGGCTTACCGTTACACATATCCCATATTCTGGCTATACAACTTGTTATTAACATAAGCATTCTGGTTTCAAATCACATTGACCTATTTGATGGTTTTATTCACTGCTTTTCTTATTAGCCATGGTTTAACTTGTCTTCTTCAATATGTTCTATTCGTTTCAAATTAATATACCTTTTAAGCAGAGTTAAATAGCAAGTAGCAGTGGGATTCTGTTGACGAGTCACAGACAAGACAAAATGAATACCCTGGATTCCACTATTTGGCACTATCCTACTATGCTCAAACGTTCTTGTGACTGATTGTTATATCGGGGTAATACACTCAGGATGCATATCATACAAAATAGACTGATCAATATCAGTCATATACATTAACAACGAGAGGATTCAAATACTTACAACTGAATTATCTATATCATGAACTATGGTCGTAACAAGTAGATTACTTAGCCCAAGTCGATATATAAAATAAAATGATCATAATTCATATCAATATCCTTTTTGTAGCAACCACAGAACACGAAAATGAAATCACTTTAGAACAGTTTTATCCTCACTCGGTAATGTATTATGGTCATCATAAATTCACTTTTTTATTCACTCTTACTTTCACCGTCTGTTAATGAATAACTTTGCCTAGACTTATTCACTTTTTTTGTGAATGCATAAGTATTTGTTACATAATTAGTCAAAATGATAGAAAGATGATTTGAAAAATGAACCAAGTTGGTCTAAACGAATATGTGTATTGGCAAAGTTCATCCCACTCATTTGTAAAGATTTGTAAAAAATATCTGGTAGAATTTCACCTTTGTTTAATGGTTATTAACGTGTGTTTTAATGAATGTCATATTATTGAATATTGTTGAGTAATTTTCACCCGTCTAAATCCCTTTATATAAATAATATTTTTCGAACTAATGTTATCACTGGTTTAAATGTCCATGCTTGAGAGAAGTAATAAACACCATTAGACTAGTCACTTGTTGACCAGTTTGCCACTTTAGTTTCTTTGAGATGTCTTGTTTTCTCCGGTCTAATATTGTTTGCGTTACCATTGTCTGTTCCTAGTTATAGCGAAAAATCTATCATTCTATAGACGTTTCCGCCTACATGAACAAAACTTACTTTCATAACCCTGATACTGTATACGCCAGCAATCCATCCATTCATACTTTGCCAATCAACTAATTATGAAATAAATCAGCTAAGTCCCACATGTTTTATGTGTTATTTGCGTCATTTAGGCTCCAAAAACCCGCATAATTATACAACTGATAAATAACAACAAAAATATAGCTAGGACATTCGTAGTGCCAGATTGAGTAAAAGGTTTATGGCTAATTAACCATGATTTACAAATTGCAAGAGATGTCGCGAAAGTTAATCAGTCAAACCAGAGTTTATAATTAATGTACTATTAAAATGACTCTAACCGATCGCTTGAGAAATACAAATAGAAATGTACAAACTGATTCCCCTTGAAAATATCTTCTTAAATCTTATAATTTCAATCCCATTCCTCTCTCCATCTGTCGTACTGTAATCAATGTAAGCCTAACATAATTTCCCATTTTTTTCCAATTGTTTGACATTTACACAGATTAGATAAGATATTAAATGATGTTATTTAGGTCTTAAAATTCAGTTTTTTAAATTATTTGGGAAGAAATACTGTTAGTACCTTCAAATAGTATTGTTTACATACTGATTTTCATTGTATTGATTAATTGTTCATTAAGCATCACTCTAGATCAACTATTAGTTTATTCAAAGATATTTTACAATGATCAGATCGAAACATGTTACTGATGCATCTAATAGTTTTGCATTTTATCTTAATCGTAACGCAGACTACAATCTCGCAAGTCTGTTTAAGAAATCGGTTAAGTTAGATGGTGGTTGGAGGTAGTCGACAGGAAACCCTGGACCCGGGTTTTGTGCTACTTGGCACTCGTCAACAAGGTGTACCTGTGATTTTGAGGGAACTGGTGTTCCCCGGCGGATTCGACCTTGTGTCACCCAGCTTCACAGTCATAGACGTTACCACCGAGCTATCCGAGTCGCGACCGACCTCCTGTAGGACTGAGATGTAATCACAATTGGTTGATCACTGAGTGGCGATCAATGTCATGCTTGTCTAGTCCTTATTAGTGCAGATCGAATGCTATCGACCACCATCTAATCTCAATATATAGTGCCCGCAGTGTCGAGTCACTTAGACTGGTGGCTACATTGCAACATGATCGATAGCATTTGATCTGCACTAATAAGGACTTGACGCGCATGACACTGATCGCCACTCAGTGATCATGTGGTGTGAGCTACTTATATTGATATAAGTAGTATATAACGTCCGTTAAAAGAACGTAATGTCTGGCAGCGGAAGACGGAGAAGATCAAGAAAGGTAGAGCGAGAACACTATGGAATTTGTAAGAAAATGCATGAACAATGGAATGGGAGTCAACGGATCAGTATTTGCAACGGAAACGGTCCAGTTTGATATGATGCATTGATATTTTGCAAATTGACGATTGACTTTATGGTATTCCAATTTTATTGAGATAGTCTGTAATTAGATTCGATTGTCCCCATCCGTGTTCTTGTTCACTGCAATCAGTCAGTTGTGAAATTGGTTCAGTACTTTACATGAACTAACTTTCAATTCCTAGTAGTGATTCCGAAGAGTTTATTGTTCATATTTACTTCTATTAATAAACTTATTTGTTATTTAATCATCTAAACATACTATTTTTGCTACTTTTACAAATTATATATTGCATACTTTCTAAAACATTGTTTTTCTTCCATTTATTACCTTTTTTTCTCTGAACAGTCAATAACCCGTGATGAATTTGGTCAATATATTATAAGTTTACTTTTTAAATTGACTTCTACTGAATTATTAATTTGGTAAAAATCAGTAAAACTTACAAAATATGCAATAAAAACAAAACAGTAGTGAAATTGTCAAGAATAAATTCAAAACCAAAATGAATATTGAACATTTAACTGACTTCTACCATCAGATATTGTGGTGTGTAGTGCTGATGTCAATAGATATAAGTAGTATGTATCATCAATCGAAAGTGAAATACCTGGTGGTGGAAGGTTAAGAAGATTGAAGGAAAGAGAACGAGAACGGAGAATGATTGATGTGGAAACGAAAGATCAATGAATTCTGAGACGATTGATTGACATTTTGCAAATGAAGTATTTACTGTATAGATCTCAGATTTTACTAAAACGTTCTGTAATTCTATATTCGAATACTTTCGATTGTCCCTACTTATGTTCTTGTTCACTACAATACAATCTTGTTTCATTTAAGTAATACTAACACAGTGAAATTCAGTGTTCTAAAAATTAAATCTATTTACTTTTGTTGTAAACTTATAAATATTGTTGAAATAAAGGATACTCAAACAGAATCATCAATTTTACAATTAGGTTCATTTGCTTGACGTCATAAGCTGTAGAGAAACCTACGAAGGATAGAATTACTTAGTCTTAATGAAATAATCTCTCATTAATTCTATAAATATATTTAGAAAAACAAATTTCACTCACTAGTACACACATGATTAATCAAATAGACAATTACTACTAAGAAATGTAGTTTTAAGTAATCACAAAATATTTTTAATGTAGCAACGTTCTATAATTTGAACAGTTTATTCATTGATTTCTTAAATAATATCATTAGCATAAACTTTGAAAAGAAGTTAGGCTTTAGAATTTTGTTTTTGCAAGTTATAATTATTTTGTAAAAAAAAATAAGTTCTATTAACTGACAGTTTTTAGAAATGTGCGCTTATGAGGTTGTCTATAAAAGACAAGACATCAAACCATTCAAATCAGAAGATAAAGTACTTTGGAAACCATCAGTATGGGGTTATGTTGATTGTTACGTTTTTGATTGAGATAATAAATCGATCTATGTCATACCACCACTGAAAACCTGGGAGTACTGGATAGCCGTCTCGCCCTAGTATGGAACTTCTCAGTGGTGCGCACTCACGATTTCACAGGTGGGGTCTGAACTCAGGACCTTCTGTCTCGCGCGCGAACGCTTAACTACTTGACCCCTGATCTGGCGTCCGATGGTGTTAATATCGCGACCATCTTCCATTGTCTGGTGTAGATATCTATCTCTACCCAACACGGATTAAACTTCATTGGTCACGGCTTCTCATTAGAACTTTGAGAATTCTCTAACGAAGCTAGTCACTAGTGAGCACATGGCAATTATCACTAATAAGTACCATGGTAGTCTAACATCGATCAATTCCTGGTCTCAATTAAAAACTTTGAAAATTGTCATCCTGAACGACAAGTACTTTTAATTATTCCAACAATCAAATCATTATTTAATAAATGTGTTGTTTTTTCTGAAAATAAAAAGAATTCAAGTGCAAATTAATTAATCATTTTTTTACATTTTTGAATTCATTTTATTGATATAGAAACAAATAGCAAATATTATTACTGTTATCATTTGTAGAGGTGGATAATTTGTATGACTCTTATTACAGTAATCTCTTGTACAGCATTGATATGAATATTTACTGAACATATAGAACCAAGAATTTGCTTCACATACATCAACACAATCTCTAACAGTATATGGATAACCGTTAGGTTCAATTTTCTGTTCGGTGAATAAAATGAGAAAATTATTTTTTTAAGTAAAAATAATTTTATAGAAGTTTTAGTAAATTGACTTCATAGATAATATGAAATTTACTATCTTTTACAAAGAATGATTATTGAAGGGCAGTTGGATACTTTAAGCAATTCAATCTAATCATTGTTTTAGACATTGAAGTTTTGACTTTGAAAATCTTCAGGAGAAATTTTGGAATTTGAACCAGTAGTATAGTTATACGTAAAGATAATTTAATTCTTATGGTTAACTATATTGTTATAAGATTCTAAAGTAAATATCAAGTACTTCAGTTCATGAGAAAGAAGTTAAATCCATGCATAGTGAACATAAACCAACTATTCAGTTTAATGTATTCCCTTAAATTTTCTCAATTGTATTTATAACATTCAATATTAATGTTAAGGATCTGAGGGGGGGAGTCAAAAAGAAATATTTGATTTATGATTTATTGACTATTTTATTAATTGCTGTAAATATAATAAGCCATGGATGTAGAAACTTAGATTGACTTCTCTGTAAGTCAATATTATTTATGGGACAGGGTTTAATGAATTAATAATCTTTAGTATCATCCCTAACTTCAATGATGATGATAATTGTGCTCATACAAAATCTGTCACTACCAAAAACTTTTACATGAAAAACCTTAGTTCATGGTGGAAATTACTCTCAAATTAAACATCAGTTTTCAAGAAACGACCTTAGTAAAATCAATAAAATATTTAAATGTTCTGCTTATTTCCATTACTTATTCAATGAATTATACAGTAAAAAATTGCAATATATTCCTTAATAAACAATTTATATTGTTAAATGAACAAGCAAATAAAACTACTAATATTTTAAGTTAGATTCAAAGAAAACGAAACTTACAGCACACCATCTACAGCCTGTTTTATTTCTAATTAAATTGGATCCGGGATAAAATGGTGTAGGACATGGATTACATGTGAAACAGCTAGCTGACAATGCTGTAATGATGAAGGGAGATTAATTATGGTAATGATTATGACTTGTAAAAAAAATATTGCTTTCTACATCATAATCAATTAAACTTAACTGTACTCTTTTCCTTTGTAACTAACTACTGTTTAATAACACATTAAGTCGGTAAAAAAACAAAAACAGCTACATATTTTCAGTATGATATTTAAACAAAACTTACTGCGCATGAATAAGAAATCAGTCAGGAGAAATCATTTTCCATGGAACTAATGATTTTGAAAGTATTAAAAATTCTCATGAAGTAAATTATAACAATAAGATACATATCACTATATAGACAAGTATCTTCAATGTTTTTGATATTACATCAGGGTAAAATTTTGATTAGAATCAGTATTAAAAAGCAAAAATTATAGAAAATTAGGAAAAGACATTGGAAATGAATAGGAGAAACATTACGAAAATCATCAAACTGCGTCACCAAACAAACTCTAACTTGGAATCCTGAAGGGATGCAGAAAAGAGGAGAACCAAAGAACACATTACGTCAGGAAATAGAAGGAGATATGAAAAGGATGAATAACAACTGGGAAGAACTGGAAAGGATTGTCCAGGACAGGGTTGGATGGAGAGTGTTGGTAGGCTGGCGTCTTATGCTCCTCCACGAGGAGTAACAGGCGTAAGTAAATGCATGAGTAAGTAAAAGTTATCAATGATACATCATACAGTTTATATTTTTCAAAAGTTTTAATTCTCATTTTCTGAAATGATCAAGCTAAATAGAAAAATCATAAACACTTTGAATTGTTACTCTAGATCATTACAATACTTCATTAAGAAATACTTGTTGAACAATACTTTCTTACTAAAGATCACTATTAAAGGGTGAATAAACCCTGATATCATTAGGTTTTTAGGTTTTTGTTTCAATAAATTCTATTCTTTTAGATGGTTTTCTAAGGATTTATGATAACTTGTGAAATTCAAGTGTAAGACAATAACTTAAAAATATCCTTAAATGTGCATAGTGATGAAATGTTATAAAATGCTTAAATTTGAGAAATACAGTATATTAAAGTCTAGCTTAATATCAAGTTTGATCATTGGTAAAGATCGTTGATGAGTCTTGAACTTTTACAAAACAGTTGTTTAGTGCTTTCTAATTTTCAGTGATTCTTTAGATAAAGTTAAATTTTAGTGAATGTTAGTATTCATGAGTTCAATTTTTGTTCCAGAATACATTCACAATTAATATGAGTATTTTTAAATGAATTGTACCTATGGTTTGACAGTGAGACAGTATCATATCAGTTCTGGTAAAATGTTTTCACCTACCAAGTAAAAATTTTATATTTGATTGTTTCTGCTTAACTCTAAATGTCAAAGTAACATCATATAATCTAATGACGCTTATGACTTAAATGATTCTCTCAAAATGATATTAAGATGCAAACTTGAAACAACATTAAAAAAAGGAAATACATTTGATATATTTCACAAATTGAAAATCGAATATTGACAGGAAGTTGTGTAATATTCAGCTAGTGAAAAAGTGGTAAGAAGGAACTATTTGTCCACTTGATAGCAGCTATTAAGAACTGAATAATTTTAAGTTGTAATAGTTGCTAATTACTAGTTGTGAAAATAATTAGAAAGGAGTAGAAATAATAAAACAGAAATAAAAACAATAGATATAGGAGATAAAAAAGCGAAGTTAAGATCATAGAAGAATGAGAGACTGAACATATTATTTTTCTACGCAAAGATTAGGCTTAAACTGGTGGATAACAGTAACATCTGCTTTACATAAGTTTTTTATTTGTATTCCAATTGAGCTAACACTTCTGAACCTATGTATAATTTTGAAGGTTTCTGGTGGAGTGGAGTTGCCGGAATTGGCTAGATATTTCAATATTTGTGAAGATTACTTAATTTGTAATTTGTTTGATGAGGTAAATTTAACTAGACAAACACCAGAAACAAGGAAGCAGTGAATAATTGATTTGTTCCAGCATTGGTTTCTTCAAGACTACAGGACGTAACATGTATCACTTAATCAAATAACCGAATTTTACTTTGATAAATAACTAAAAGAAAGAAAGAGCTTATATAATCCATCGTCTTAAGTCATTTATAACAGTTCATTCGAACATAGTAATCATAAATTTATCCGAAAAAAAGTCTTATTTCATTACTTACAGTCATCAATTCTCACCATAAATAAAAGCATTGTCATTACGATGCATGTTAAGAACTTCATAATGTTTTTTTCTTAGAAAATTGTTCATCAACACTGCGTATTTGAATATTTATATGAAATTTGTTTGCTAATATATTTTAATGATGTTTTTTTGTGTGATTGTTAATTGATCATTAGCTTGTCTCTACCAACCATATGTACTCGTTATCCTCATTTAATTACTTGAGTCCGTGAATTTAATTTTGATAAGAGTAATTCATTGAAAATAATAAACCAGTTTATCCAGTTGGCTAACATTATAACTTTTGAAAGGGTCAACTAGTTATATTGTTTTGTATTTGTTTACAAACGATATTAGTAAATAGACTTGAACTAATGCATATATGTACATATATATGCTAGTATGAATGAACAAATTAGTGGTATGTTTCTACTTCAGTCTTAGTCACTTTTGGATAGACATTGAAAAAATTGAATTCATTATTAGGAGTAAGCATAATTTATTCTAAATTTTGATTAAACTACTTCTATGCTACTTTTATTCTATGTTAATTTTTAACTTCACTTTGAAATAGAAGTGTATTATTTATGAAATCAACGTGCATTACAATATAACTATGTGACATAGTCTTTTGTAGTGGCAGGAAATGGTTAGGAATTCATTTATCCATTTGAGCATTGTGTTACCTTTTTGAGATTAATCAGTAAGACGCTACTTCAGTCTCCTCTCCTATACACCTCGGGAAGTAAAATTCCCCAAGGGATTCGAACCAAAGCTATTCAGTGCATCAGTTAACAACATTTATAGTGAAATGTTGTTCTTTTAACTATCTAACTGAGATTAGTAAACCTTATTGTATAGTTGACGGATAGGATTCAATAAACACTAGCAACTATACAACATTAATAACTGCTGAATATAAAATAATAAGTCTGAAAAGGAAACTAAAAATAATAATAAAATATCAAAAATACAAAAGTGATAATAAAAACAAGCGTCGTTATATTTTCAGTACATTTATTCAGCTTTTGAGTTGCGTGTTTATCTTGAACGACTATGAAGGGTAGTGAATTCTGGTATTCCGTGCAATTCTACATAAATAATCGAGGAAATAGAAAAAAATATTTACTGTTCATTTAAAATAAATTTTGGCCAGTAGTAGAATCCGCAACCATTGTTCCGTCTTGTTTAAGACTTATCAGCTAGATATACTTGATTTCCAGGTTTTACGTTCACATTGAGAATCGAACCAAGTACCTTTCACTTCAAACGACCAACACATCATCCACTGAGCTACTGATTTCAGATTAACCTAAATTCAGTCCTGATAATCAATAAAGAGATAACTCAAACATTTACTGTTTTTATCTATCTTAAGTAATTATAAGGAAAGTGAGGGTGATTAATACGAAATTATAGTTAATAATCGTAATTATTCAAGAATGCCATAGAAACAAGTTAAGGATTAGTGATTATGAAAAGGGACAGCGTAACATGCTAAGATTAATTTTCAGGTGAAACGTAATCAACAAGAGAATGTGTTTCGAACTTGAACCTCCAGTTTAATGTAGACTATTTAGTTTAAAACATTAATTGTATCTAGTTCTTGATGCTCTCTGAACAGTCAGATAAAACAAAAGCTTAACATAGTATAAATCAACCAAGTCCCCTCTGTTCATCCTTGCCATGTAGCAACTGTACTAAATGGGGAAATATACGGAAAATATAGACCGTTTTCCATAATTTATGAAGATTTAACATCTAAAATCAACTTTGAATGCAGTAAGAACTGTACAGTGTCATTCAATAATTTTGTTATAAAACAACGTAATATGGTATGAATAGCCAAAATAAAATGAAAACCTGGGGTGTCCGAAAAGTATCTGTCAGTTCTGAAGTTTGCGCTATGGTTTATTGTTATGGGATGAGAAGAAAGGATGAACATTACTGTTAATGCCTATTTAGGATGATTTGTATCTTCGAAGCAATAAAAATGGGACCGGAAGTTGTAAAGTAAAGTACACTTTCAAGCAAAATGTCTTATTATTATTGTGTCAAAATCATGGCAACATGCATAAAGAAAATTTTTTAGTTATTATTAACGTCATATAACACAAAGGAAGTTGAAAGAAAACCTGGGTTGGAATAGGAGTCGAACCAGTAGACTAAAGATCACGAACTTCAACTTCTACTCATGCAACTGAAAAATGCCAATGATACCATGGTCATAACTTCACTTTAATGAAATTCTACCAAACGTAGCTTCAGTATCCTAGCGAAATCTTTGCTTTGTGTATCTTTTAACTGTCCAGGTATTTCAATAAATCATCTTGTTTTGAACTAATTTTAATTGAATAATCAAGTATTTCAACCGTGTTTACTCACCAGCTTTCATTGGATGTTATTAACTTCTTACGACTTTAAATACAGGAAAACTCAAACGAAAACACTAGTTGTCGGCATATTTCCTTCCATTTTTATCCATGGGAGTGACAACTACATTTGAATTCTTGGATCATATATATAATTAATGAAAAATAGCTGTACTAATTGAGTTGGTATGATAAATTTGTGACTAAAGATAAGTGAGACATAATTTGTTCAGAAAGACATTTTAAGATATAATTCGACAATTTGCTTCCTTACGCCTGTTACCCCTCAAGAAGGAGCGTAGACAGCCCACCAGCATTCTCCATCCAACTCTACCCTGAGCAATCTTTTAGAGTTCTTTCCAGTTGCTATTCATCCTTTTCATATCTGTGCTTCCAATTCTCGACTCAGTTTGCTCCTTGGTCTTCCTCTTTTCCATTACCCTCAAGATTCCAAGTTGACGCTTTCTTTGTGTTATAACTTGTGGCCTGTGTGCCCTGTTGATGGATAACCTAACGATACCGCCAATTAAGGAGCAGTGAATTATCTATCTTACCAGTGACGCATAAAACCCATACGAGCAGTCTAGAGTCCTGATTGGTTCTGATTTCCGCCTAGCCCAGCTATTCAAGCCCAGAACACCAATCTCAGGCCCCGCAACATGAATCATTTATTTCAAGCATACTGGATTTATATACCAACCAGACAGACCACATCGTACCATAAAACGAAAAATAACATTTGTACAAGAATTAGCCGAATGTGGCCGTGGATGAGGGAGGTAGTAATTATAAGACAGGATATAATTCAAGAATGGCAAATCGTATAGTAATAGTTCATAGGTCAAAAAAGCTCATAATAAGTGGGACACGGATATGAATGGTTTAGTCACATAACAATTGTACAATAAAAATATACGCATAGTATTTGTTCATAATGGATCCCAAACGTTGCCATTCATTATGTTTATCGGGACCTAACACTCTGTGGTGTAGTTTGATTTCCGTAGTGTACGTCCTATCAACTTGCAATATCTTTTCCTAATTTCCTCTCAAGCTGGAAGCTGGTTTGTCCTATCCCACAATAGGCTGTTACTCATGGTATCCAATCAACTAACATCTTACGTAGACAATTGTTTATAAATACTTGTACATTTTTGATGATGGTTGTAGTTGTTCAAGTTTCAGTCGCGAGTGGTATAATTATCTTGACGTTCGTATTGAAGATTTTGACTTTGATGTTGGCTCACAAATAGTTGTTTTGAGTTCCATATGTTCTCTGACTGTATGAATACTACCCTCACTTTATCAATCAATACCATTACATTCGCATCAGATCTTTCTTGTTCATTGATGATACTGACCAGGTATGTGGAAGTTCTCACCTGTTCCAGAGTTTTTCCATCAAATGTGATTGGCTTAATGTTCTCTGTGTTGTATTTGAAGATCTCGCTCTTCCCTTGTGTATGTCGTGACCTAGTGATGCAGAGGCTTCTGCTACATTAGTTGTCTTCATCTGCATTTGTTGGTGTGTATGGAACAGAAGAGCCAGGTCATTTGCGAAGTTTAAATTGTCCAGTTGATTCCGAGCAATCCATTGTATTCCACTTTTCTCCTCAAACGTCGAGGTCTTCAACACTCAGTCGACCACCAGAATAAAGAGAAGGGGTGATAGTAACAGCCTTTTCTGACTCTGGTCCTCACTTGGAATGCGACTGTCAACTGTCCTCGATTCGACTATTTACCGTTTAAATATATACTGAAAAAGAATTTATTGTAACCTTGAATCAGTGATGTTGAGAATTTCTCACTGCAACAAAATGTAACACCAAATAAAGTAATTATTATTGTTATTAAAATTTGTGTTTGCTAATAATAACCTTTTTTTAAATGAAAGCACACATAAAACTGTAGCATGTAACTTGTTAGGTTAGTAGTGTATTGATTAAAAAAAACTCCATTCTCTATGGTGATCATATATCTTTTCTTCACTAATATTAAAATGTTAATCTTTACTAATCAGAAATATGATTGTTTTTAAGTCAATCAATAATATGGATTAATTAGAAATCTATGTAACTTTTAAAAGGATTCAGAAGAATAGACAGTCATAGTGAACAGTCATGTAACCCTTATTCCTCACAAGTATGTAATCCTTTAATTCTAAAAGTTGGTTGGATAGCTTATAAAAATGTTTGAGATTAAAATTTGTATAATTTAGCAATCATACTCTGTTTTACATTTTCCAGTATCTTAATACGGTGGAGTTGTGTTGGGGTGATCCAGAAAACTTCTCGCAAAAGATAAGAAAGGCTCAGGAAATACTAAGAAGCATTTTATCCCATCAGCGTCCATCAGAAGTTTACCCAGGAACATCAAGAAGCATCAAGTGAAAAGTCACATGTAGAGTTTCTGATTGGCTGATTACTATACTGCTACTTTGTTTAGTATCATCCCGGAATTTTCGGGAAACCCAAGAACATCTAAAATATTATAAAAACCCTATATTTTTTGTAAGAAAACGAACCTTTGGAGTGAAGCGCTTCTCGCATGTTTTGCGCATTTTCTCTCGTGTTCAGGTCGCTGTATAATTCTAGCTTGAGGGTTACGAGAATAGCTTAGGAACCGAACATAGAGTTCAATTAGCAGGACTTATCAAGTTGCACTCACATTGTTTATTTACACAGTAA